CGACTATATAAAATGTGCACAATTCATGCTTTCAGCTCAGGCAACTGTCGATATATTCTTTTCGTGTAAAATTTTTGTCTCATGAAATTATCTTCTTAATGTGAACATTTCTTGTTGAATAATTCATAGTATACTTCGTACGTACTAATTATATACGAGTTAGTCAAAATTGGAAACCATATACACAAATTATGAAAACAACCATATATATATTTGGAGGATAAATTTTCCACTTTTTTCAAACTTTTTTTTTTTTGAAAAAAGGTGGAAGATACATGACATAAATCATGCACAAATGTATAAGAGTATTACAATCGAAATCAAACTGCGTGCATCATTCGTAACTTTAATTTGTAGAATAATATTGGTCAAGTAATAAAGTTGGAGAACAAATTATTATTTAATCATCTCAAATACGTAAGTCCTTTATATCCATGCATAGATCATTCTTTTTAAAAAGGTCTTGCTTTTCTATCTTATCACTTTTTTTTTGGGACGGAAATTATCATTCACATTTCACAATTCAAATCCACGTCAATTCATGCACAAAAGTTTTTGGAAAAGTAAACAGATTCTCTTGCTATTGTGTTTGATGGATCATTTACTTATTTTTGTTTTTATTATCACACTGTTTCTATTTTTCTCTTAAACATCAAAATGAAAGCTTGTTACAGGTCAACAAAAATTGGAAGTTTGTTCTTAAATCGAGTTAAATATTAATTATTTCAGGTCACACAAAAATTCGTTTCATGGAATTCTTTTTCCTCCTTCTATAAATAGTCTCTTGAATTCATTTCATGCACCAATACGATAGTTATATAGATGACCGTTTGATATTTCTGGAGCAAAATATATATTTTTTAATTCCTATTATGCTACTATGTACTCAAAATTGAATAATTTTTATATTCTATATAATTTTTTTAAACAATAGAGATGCAAAGATCCATTTTCATAATTAAATTTCTTTTTTATTATATTTTAGTTCTATATCAAATAAAGTACTAATCATATTACTAAGTTCCCATACACACACACACATATATATATAGACATGCAATTAAACAATATTGTTAATCATGAACAGACTTGATTTGGTTTGGAAAAAAAGTATAAGATTGGATAAAACTAAATTTAGTGTGTGTGTGTGTGAATGAAAAAAATTATAAACTTGAATTTTAAAATTTTAAATTATCATAATTAATTTAGAAAAGAAACATATCTTCAACTAATAGCATCATAACTGTAACTGTTAAGGAAAGAAAAAAGTTTAGAGTGAAATTGGCTATTTGGTTCGACTAGTTTTTTGTCAATTCAAAACAACAATTCAAAGCAATTCATTAAATAATAAGAATAGGATAAACTTGTATAAGATTTCAATTCAATTACGTTGTTAACTTCTTGGGGGGTTCCAAACGCACCCATAAAATGTCATCGTTGGCACTAATTATTAATTATGGTTGCATGTGAGTAATTTCTCTTGTAATTAATTAGAATTTGTGGTTCAATCACACATGCTTCTGATGAACTGGTCACCCATGCTTGCTTATTTTTTTGTCTTTGAATGGTAGCTGCCCCGACACACGTGATGTAGGACGGACGGATGTGAAAGATATCTAGGTAAATTATTTCTAGAGAACCATAAAATTTAAATAATTGAAGTTAAATATTTTTAAATAATTTAAATAAGATCGAGGAATCAAATCTCCTAAATGAAAAAAAGAAATTATTTTAAAAAATTGACAATTGCTAGGTTTTAGGTAAATTATTAATTTATTATTCATAATATACATTGATAAGATTTTTTTAAGTTTCAATAATAATTTTTGAATAATCTTACAGTAAGGTTTCTTTCAATAATTATTGATAGGTAACATTTAATAAAATCAAGGACCCCATTTAATTGCTTGTTTAATTTTAATTATTGAATAAATTAATAAAATTATTAATTATAATTGTTAATATCTTTTGACATAAAATTTCAAACTTTGGATGATTAGATGTAAAAGAAATATGATGGGTGATGATGAATTTGTTGTCAATGCATTAGGTCATGGAGCAAATGGTTTAGGGATAAATCAGAAGTATATATAACCGTCCTACTGATGTTACGTATTAGAAGTGGGTAAACCAGAGGGTTAATTAATTTAATTCAATGAAGTTGACGGATTTAATTAATTTAATGACTTCTTCAACACTTTGGGTAAAGACGATCACTACCCGTCTAATCTATCACCAATGGGGACAATGACGTCCCTAAATGTGAAAAGCTTACAGCAAAAACTGTGCACTGATCAATGATTGTACCAAAAAAATCAAAACAGCACACAATTATGGGCTCATTTGGCCCAATAAACTTGTTCTGGATTTCAGAATTTGCTTGGGCTATCCCATAAGGCCCAAAATCCACAATAACCAACAAAACAATCAGAGAGCTCTCCCAACATGATTGTAAAGTCCGAATTGTATTTGAATTATTTTTTTGAAACATAAAATTTGTATCAAGTCATGAAAACTAATATAAACTTTCATAGCTTGGCCCCACACACACACACTTGGAAGGCTGGTGAAGTCATGGAAGCTGAAGCTGGCAATCACGCAAATTTTGTGCTGATGAGTAGCTGCAACTACCGTTCTATAAATAGTATAAACTTTATGGGTTGGGAATGCCAACATAAAAGGAAGTCTTAATGGTACAGAGCTTCACATTTATGACAAATCTAACTACCACTTGCTCTCTCCTTCAAACGTTGTCTAGTTTTTCATTTCAATCTACCTGGCTACGGAAAGAGGTCTCTCCTTTTCTTTCATTTTCTGAATCTCCACGTTGATTTTATTCTATTAAATAAATTTATTTTAATTACAAATTTTGTAAATGATGAGGATTGAGAAAACGAGGAAAAAGAAAAGGAGAGTCTCTTGTCCCACCTCAGTAGCTCTTTGGAACATATTCATTTCGGTTTTTATTAGAGGCTATTTTTAATTATTTTATTAGAATTAGAGAATGACAGTTAACTTATTAAATATATTTTAAAATTTAAAAATTTAACTTTACCCCTATTATGTTGGAATTTGGGGTGAGGGAATCTCTAAATAATTGATATAAGCTTGGACAAGAAAAGAATAGTTTCATTGAAAGAGTAGTTTCATTCAAAGAAAATTTTTATTGCAAACTCTTTCAACAATTTACACATGCTCTTGTTGACTTTTCAACACTCACAAGCTCTCACCATGTCATTTCACTTTCTTTCTTTCTTTCTTTTTTTTGGCTTGCTTCTCACACACGCATAGCACTGGACACACTCACATGCTTGCAGAGAAAAAAAAAAGTCAGACAAAGGTATAGAAAATTTTGAAGGAAGAAAGACGTCGATTTCAACATATTAAAGATAGGAAGAGGGATATAAAATATTCAATGAGTCATAAAATTAAATTTATAATAAAAATAAAATTGAAACATTGTAATAAATAATTTTTGATGTGCTTTATATTAAGGATTAAAGTGGATCCTTCCAAAATGTGCCATACACCGAGGGAGTACACTCTCTCATGGTACGTGAGATTTTTAGCCCAGGATTGTCACCACTATATGCACACATTCATGTTCTCTCAATTATTATTATTATTATTATTATTATTATTATTATTATTATTATTATTTTGAACAAGAAAAATTTAGACAAGCTTAATCTTGGGATATTTGCTAAAGTCAAGGTAGGTCTCAAAATTATTTAAACAACACTTGTAGAAATATTTATTAATTACTCATGAACAAGGTTTCATATTAATAATAGGATTCAAATCCGTGTCCTTGCAGGATAACAAGCCTTAACTAGTTCGATTTTTATATACAGTTACAGGGTCAAGTTATCTTCAAATATTTTAACAATTATAATTTTTTTGAGAAAAATATAAAATTTCATGTAACTTGAGATCCAGTGAAGCAAAATTAATAATAGTAACACATGAAACATATAAATTCAATTCAAATCTACCCAGTTTTTAATGTGGTAGGGTGTTCGGGCAGCATGCGAAGCCTCACAGATGAAGCCCCACCCACCTCCTAGCCGACCGAACACCCAAATGAAGGCTATCACCAAAAAAAAAAACAAAAACAAAAACAAAAACAAAGTAAAAGAAGGCTGAAATGGAAATTTCAAATATGTTGAGAGAATGGTCTATCCACTTAAAACTCAGTCAAACTCAATTCCCTAATCTTGATATTGTTATGATCATTTCCTTATATAAGAAATGTTAATCTATATGTACATGTACTTATATAATTATATACTATAAGCTTTATGTTTACACAAAATTTAAAGAGCGAATTACATTGCTTAGGAATAATACGAATTTTAGTAAATTTTGCAATGCATCGTTTTTTTAAGCTTCTAGTATTATTGTTAGCACATATCTTCCTCAAGATACATGCTCCTCATCTTCTTATTCGGCCTCATGCTCCTTGATTGGGATCGAACTGAACTTGCGATGCCTTTATTCCAGAAAATTCAAGTATATGATTAATGTTTTTATGACTCAGATATCTTTACAACACTTTTTATAATTTCAAGCATCAAAATGTTCTCGAGAATAATCCTGTTTTATTCGGCCTGCGTAGGAATTAGGTTATCCATATAAATCACATGTCGAGATAAAGAGAATGTTTGACTACGTCCCATATACTGTACAAGGCTTGTCAGGCCCACCTTTGTTACTTCATAACCGAGTTTATACATGCATATACATATATACATATTTATTGTACAGTTTAATTATTTAGTTGTACGTACAGCCTCTGTATGTATTGACGTAAAACAGTTACCAAAGTATCAATAATACTCATTCTCATTCAGTACCATTCCCATTTTTTGACTCAGTCGTCACAAGGCTATGTTTTTGAGTATCTTGTTACTTGATACCTTTTTCATGTTAAGAGAGGGCTCGCTTTTCCCTGTCTTCTTATCTTGGAGGTCTTTCATGTTGAAATAATGAATACAAGCTACGCAAACGACACTTTCTTGCCATATATATGTATACACACACTGACACACACATCTATTTGTTACAAGGAAGCTGTTTGAATGAAGAATTTAACTCCAAAAGCAGCTTATCAAAGTTATGACGCATCTAACAGTCCTATATAAGATAATTTAGAATAAAGCTATGTACAAAGTACTCACTAATAAGGCATTCCCATTAGCAGCAAAACTCAAATAAACCCACACCATTTTTAAGATATGAAACATATCATAATCATGATCAATTGGATGAATGTTTTTTGTCGACCTCGTGACCTAATTTTCTTGCCGTAACCAACAAGCACCTAAATTTACAAAATACAGAGAGATCTGAATATTTGCGCTCAACTTGTACTGACATAAAGGTCAATATATATATATATATATATTGAACATTCAATTAGAATTTATACATGAGACATATATATTATGAAGCTAGTTAAATAGAGGAAGGGTTGGAGCTGATTGGCTCTGATCCATGTCCTTATTATTAGCAGCAGTATTGTGGGAGGACTCAGCAGAATTTAGGTTTGGTGCAGTGCGAGAAGGAAAAGCAATAGTGAGGTCAAGATTCAACTTGGACGATGGTTTTTCTTTTTCCTTTAATGAGTCAGAGGATGTCGCGGCAGCAGCCGGTAGGGCATCATCATCGTCATCATCATGACGAGGACGATGATTATGAAAGCTCTGGTGAAGATGAAGCTTATGGTTCTCAGGGTCTATACCCATCTTCGTTAGCTTCCTACGGATGTGAGAATTCCAATAGTTCTTTATCTCGTTGTCTGTTCTTCCAGGCAACCTTCCAGCTATCAAGGACCACCTTGTAAAATTACATACCAGTAAGCTAAACTGTTCATGAGTTATTATTAGGGACCTGGTTTCTTAAACTCGTGGGCCCACATCTAGTATAGTTACATGTAAATGCCAACTATAATTAACAGTGGATAAAATTTGTCAGGGAAATTAATTACTCTAATGGGTAAAATAAATAAATACAGTAAGATAGCAGATAAAATATATGTTTTACTTAAGATTTGTATCAGATTATATATATATATATATACCGGTTGCCGAGGAGGGCATGGAGCTTGATGATGAGGTCTTCTTCGTCTTGAGCAAAGTTTCCACGTTTGATATCAGGCTTCAAATAATTTATCCATCTCAACCTGCAACTTTTTCCGCAACGATGCAGCCCTGAGATGAATTATTTACAGTGATATATATATATATATATTAGCAGAGCTCTGAGGTATATCCCATAAAGGACCTGATTTGAAAGACTGTAATTTCTTTAAAGGAGAGATCTCTTTCAGTTGAAACCAGCAGGTAGCAGAATGAAAATAGAACCACACTATATATATATCAGTTGGTTTGAGAATGAAAGAAAGAAAAAGGAGAAAACCTGCGGCTTTGGGAAGGGAACGCCAACAGCCTTCACCATGAGTTTGGATGTAATCGATGAGCTTTTGGTCTTCTTGCTTAGACCAAGCTCCTTTGTTGGTGTCTTGTTTTTCACAGCAAGGCTTTCTCATTCCTTATGAGCTTCTTCTTCTTCTTCTTCTTCTTCTTCTTCTTCTCTCTCTTTCTTTGGCATTCAATGTAAGATGTAAGAAAGAACCCAGAGAACTATGGCTATGGCTTTAAAGAGAAAGAGAGAAGGGGGGGGGGTTCCCTTGAGAAGGGCACGGGAGAGGGTAGATATATGCACGCCGTCAAGTCCTTTGGGAGGTTGGTTGACTTGGACCGGTGGGTTAGCCCGCGTGGGTGCATGCATGGCTTACTCACTGTTCTGGATATGTTTCAAACTTTAAACTAATACATTTTTCTTATTGTTTTTATTACTATTATTCATAAACATCTCATTTAATTTTTTTTTAAACCAGATCATGTCATTATTTTTGTTATTATAAAATATCCGAATTATGAATGTATATAACTATATATTCACATAACAAAATGTAATTAATATATATATATGACATCTATTTTTTATCTGTTTTACTCATATTTTCTTTCCCTGTATATATATTTTTATCTATGTCGTCTTGTATTATATGAAATTGTTTTATAATTTATAACTTTAAAATATTTGAAGGCAATGATATGCATGGGTAATGAAGGGAGTGAAATTCATTGGAAATTAAAGGATAAGGTGGGTTCTTCTGAATTGCTTACTGTCAAGTAAATGTCATTTTCATTTCGTCATGTACGTTTGAGAAAGTGTTTTCATGTCATTGAGATTTAGTTACTGGTCAATTTTCATGGTTGAAATTCAGAGGGAAGGTGTCACAGTACAAATTATTTTCCAAGGACAATTACCAAATTAAGTGTATGGTTATTGGAAGTGAATACCCAAAATTTTGGAGGAATTAACAGTCTCATCCGGAGCATCAAGTGCGGCTACATGAATTAAAGGATGTTATGGTACTTTATAACATCCAAATCTTTGAATATAATGTTAATTAAAAGATCTCTTTCAATAATTTTATTGAGTTTTTTTTTTTGTCTTTCTACCCAAAATATGTGTTTATTTTCCTTTTTTGCCAATTTTAAAAATGTTTGAACCATCAACAGCTTTTGAAATTAATAAAAAAACAACCAATATAAAATACACAAATTCTAGCAAGCTTTGTATATGCTGTGAACAATATGATTCTTTTATCAACTTTTATACGATATGTATGGGACTCATGTGGAGTTTCATGTTATGCGTGTATATGAATTTATATAATTGTAGAAATAACTTCGGCCAAAAAAATAATTGTAGAAATAACAGAAACTGTCCTCTTTAACTACACTAAACCTTAGGAAATTACACTTATGCAATTTACAATAATTAAAAATTATTTTTGAAGCCCTCTTTTAATTGATGGCGTAAAATCTAATTTTAGAAAGCTTGCCATACGCATCACCCATGGGAAGCTATTACAGCAATTAGGAAATTCGATCAGCTGTACGACATTGATAGATAGTGATAGATTATAGAATAGAAAATGGTAGATTAATATGGATTTAAATTCAGTGCTGTACTTAATATAGGTATTAAATATGTGTATCATTTAAATTATTAAAATATAAATCAACGATTCAAATAAATTCATTTATTTATTAATCATAAATAAAGTATAAATTCATAATCATTGATCTAAATTTTAAGTACAGTTACCAAATCTAAATTTAACTACATATGAGTACGTCCAAATCTCATTTCCTTAATTTTGTTTTTCTTTTAAATTGTGAGGGCATAGGAAAAGGATGTTTCCTTCATATTGTCTTGTGACCCTAAATTAATATCATAAAATATCAGAAAGAGAAAGCGAAATTAAACTTGACATACATATCCGAAACCAGTGCCATTTCCATCCACTAGTTGTATCTAAGGATAACAAATTTTATCCTTTTATTCACACACATATGAGTTTTTTTTTTTTGGGTAAAAACATATATGAGTACAAAGAAAGATTCTCCAAAAGTTTTTATCGCGGACTTCTTCTAGAATTCGAAAATAGAATTAAACAAATTACTTATTATTTGTTGAAGAGAAATATATCTCTTAGATTCCTCATCGAAAGAGGGGGGGAAAAATACCCCTTAGATTCTATGGAAGCTTCCACACTCATTTAGAATGAATTTTCTCATACTCATTTGCCTTTCAATCCTTTCAAGAAAATTAATTCGAGACCTTTGAACATGAATTTAGATGGTAGCGTTAATGTCTAGAGAAGTTAACAAATGCTTAGACTAGCTCTCTCACCATCAAGTGATTCGGGATAATTTGGATATATACCAAGATCGTTAACAAATTACTCATTTTATCTCAATTTTTTTAAACATTTTAGGTAAAATTATACATACTAGTAAAACTTTTTAAATACACTTTTATTTATTTATTTATTTATTTTTATGAGAAGCGATGCAAAAAAAAAAACCAAAACAATTTACACGGAGACATGATCAAGAAAGAACTTCCTTTCATTATTCACTACTTTGACCTAACAAGGTCAGAGTTGTACAATTTTATTTTTTAAAACAATAATATAAATTTTTAAAAATACATTTTATTTAATAACTTTAAAGAGAGGGAAAATATAATAATAAAAGAATGATAATATTAAAAAAGTATATTTAATAAAATTTTATTATTATTAAATTGTTTTATATTTTGGGATGTTAAATTGTTAAAAATATGATAATATGGGCTTTGGGCCTTGACCCAATATTGTCATTGTATAACAAGCTCCTAAGAGTCTAGCCGTATGTGGTTTAGTCTAAATCTACTCATGTCTCAATTGACTGTACTTGTAATCAAGATATTTATTGAACTCTCCCATTCTCTCTCTTTCTCAGTTTGTCTCGTATAAATCACTTTTAAAATTGTCTTTAAACTAAGACGGAGCCAGTATATTCTATTTAAAAAAGAATACCAAAAGGAAAGTGTAGAAAATGATAGGAATACTCCGATTATTTTGATAAGATTATTGGTGATTTGGAGATAGCAAATCAATCTTTGTTATCCCAGAAGTCAAACAATTTGAGACGAGCTGCTGCTAACTAATTAAACCATATCAGATTGTGTATATATCTACAGCTCCAAACCCCTTTACGTGTGTGTGTATATATTTTCCTATCCATGTCATAAATATTTTAACACTATATATATATATATATATAAGCGCAACCTTTTCTGATTCTATTCTATATACATATAACTCTTGAAAAGATCAAAGAAGGCGTAGCAGAGCAAGTGGTGAGGTCTTGTTTTGTTTTACAATTTCCCATGTCACTGTCTTTTTGCCCTTTCCCGCATATAGTCACGACTCTATCACAAAGGACCAACACTCTCTTTTTCTGTGGTCTTGGCATATTCTACATTTAGTAAAACCATTGCCAATTGTTGTGGACTTTATTCAATTTCACCTTTTCCAAAGCTCCCAATCTTGATTTTCAGAAGTACACAGGCGACTGAGAATCTGAGATGAGTGAAGAAGATGCCATAGAAACCGTAGAATACATGGGAATCTTTTCAGGTAACCTCAGCTGCTTCGACTGTTGAAATGGACATGGTATGTTATTTGACTCAGTGCATTACATGTTACTTTTTACTGACCCCAAAACCAGCTTTTTTTATTGCATCAAATAAGGATTAAATTGAAGCCCTCATGGAATGTTTCAGGTGACCCATTCTATAAATATTTGCCATTATATTGCATTTACGGGAACTGAGAAAGCACCTGCCTCAGAATTTAAGATCTGAGACACTCAAATATCATTTCACTCTTAATTAAGATCCAAAAATTTATATATTCTATCTTGTGTGTTCAAGATACTAATTAAAAGATAAAAATAATGTTATCCAAATTGTCTGAATAAAATATATACACTCTCTCTTGTCCCTATTATAAGGTATTTTCAACTATTTCGTAGAAATTAAGAAATAACAGTTAATTTTTTTAAATATATCTTAAAATGAAAAAAATTAACTTTATTGCTATTAAAAATACAATAGAAATAAAAAAAATGTAATAATAAATAAACCTCAACGTACGTTACATTAAAAATTAAATAATTTTTTAAAAGATGTCTTATAATGATAAGAGAATTGAGTACTTAATTTACACATCTTTAAAGGCATGCAAGGAATCTTGACTGAGATAGTATTGCATTCCAGAAGATGAGGAAAGTTAGATTTCTTGAACAACTATTCAATACCTTAAGATAAGCAGGTCATAGAAAAAACTCATCCATCTAGTATTTTATCAACTTACTAGCTATCATTATTGGCAATTTTTCAAATTAATAAAAAAAGTATTTTGATAAACTAAATTTATAATTATTATTAGTTTATTGCTCCTCGTAAAAATGACTATAATAGCTTTAACATGTATGAGATCTTAAATTTGAGTTTGCCTTATGAAAGCTATCTTAATTGGTTCAAACACTACTTGAAATTATTAACTCAATAATATTAGATATAACATGTACTCCCTCCCGTCTCTATTATAAATCACTTTTAATTATTTTATTAGAGTTAAGATAACTTATTAAATTTGTCTTAAATTAAAAAATATTTTAACTTTCCTCCTATTAAAGAGAGAGGGAGAAGCCCAACATTCCATGAGTCATATAAAAACACTAAATTAAAATTAAATTCTCCTTAACCTTTAGTAATTTGATAGGGGCAACATTCAGTGGCGCAGCCATATTGAACCAAAGGGGCAGATGCACCCTCTCAACTGGGGTTAGTTTGATATGTGTGATGAAGGAAAGAGAAACTTGAAAGTATCTAAATGTTGAAAGTCATGCCACATAGGAAAGAAATGTGAAATTGTACATCTTGCGTGGTTTTTCTACTATACTGTATTTGACAAAAAAGTCACTTAACTTGCAATAATCACCTCCTTTCTATTCATTTTACTAAATACTTTTTTTATATATTAAAAATGTAAATACTTCTTTTTTTGATTAGATTGTGTAAGATTTAAGCTTTTAGTCTTCTATTTTTTGATATTTTGCACACCATTATACTTATTGTTTGACAGTCACCTAATCTTGATTTATATCCAAATATACTATATATATAGATGTGTGTTCTAACTTACAATCTAATAAACTTTAAACATAAATTGTAAACTCATTAACTTGAGTATGCCAATATTTTTTT